ATATACTGCTCAAACAGGGCAAACAGGGGAACAGGGGTCGTTTCTATTGCTTAATCTATAATTAGATTTAAAATAAATTTTATGTTAATTTATTCCTTGTAAATTTTTTCATTACTACGATTAATGACATGAGCCCTAATCATAGCTTGACAACGACGCGGCATGCTTCGTATGATCCTCCGAATATCTTCTTGAGGGATTCGATTTGTGGATTGAATTTGCAGATCTACAGTGGCAAGATGCTGTTGTTCAAGAGCCTCGGCAAAGCCGAACAGATGCCATTTCGCCGGAGGGATGAAGGCGTGAAGAGTCTCCCGGATATCATTAAACTCCTGAAGGAGACTGGCCCGGACAACGTGCCCACATTCGTGGCGAAGGAGTTGCACAAGCTGCCCCCCGTCATAATCGACCACGTCGATGTCACTAGGCTGTTGAAGGACATTACGTCCCTGTACTCGAGTCTAGCCGAGTTACAATGTAAATTAAAGGCATCGGATAACACCGTACTGATTTTACTGTAATTTCCACAAGAGCACATTTTTTCTAATTTAGAAACTTTTTAAATTGGGTATTAAGAAAAAATATTACAATAAATTACATTTTATGTCAAAATTAACGCAATTATTTTGAAAAATAAGGTGAAATGTGAAATCCCAAATACCCATTAAATTAAAGACCCCTTCAAATACCCTAAAGAAATCCTAAATTACGAATTTTCTATCAAAATTTAGAAACCTACCTTCGCATGCCCAGACAAGCCTCTAATGAATTACTCATACAAAACGATCCGTCAAAAAACATTAAAGTTAACAATGGCAACCGACATGTTAGCCAGTATTTTCGTAATGAATGGGAAGTTTTGACTTCAATCTACTCCTCGGCACCACAGACTGTACAGCAGCCTTTCCCAAAGTGGGCGATAACGCCCCCTTGTGGGCGCTACAGGCCTAAAGAGGGGCGGTAAGAGACCCAGAAAAAAAATGGGGGCTTTGTGTAGAGGCTTAGAGGGAGATTTGTGATTTCATCTAGGAAGACTCTTAGACGCCGACTGAGCTCTCGACTCTCGACGACAACTTGTGAACAGAACATCAACTAATATTAATTAAGAGATTGCTCAAACTAACTCGGTTCGATATATCTCTCCGTGTAGTTCATATATCTGTCCTCTTTTATTGAATAAATGAAATAAAAATCATGTCAATCGGTCGCTCCATTTCGAAATGAAAGTATATACAAACAAACAAATAAAAAGGCAACAGACACAGTTTCGCATTTTAATCGTTATTAGTATTCCTAAGAGTAGATAGGCAATTTTTGTAGATAATAGACGGGGGCAATCATGTTTTAACAAGTTTTTGTTAAATAACCCGATTTGTGTATTCCTGTATCAATCGGCTGGTTCATAGAATACTTGCTCTTACTTGTTGAGTACGATTGAGCGTCGAATGAGATAAACGAGTTTATGCATGTGTGTTCGGTGCGTGTTACTTATGCAATCCTATATAAACAACGTAATATTTATTTTATTTTCATTTGCGGTTTCGCGCGTAATAGACAAGCAGTACTTAAGTTCAACACTTACTTACGTATTTCTCAAAACAAAACAATGTCGGAAGTAAAAAAGAAGAGACGGCAATACTGTGCGGAATATATTAAATACGGATTCATTGAAAATCCCACAAACCTATCATCGACTTTGTGCCTTCTATGTCTAAAAACATTTTCGAATGAAGCCTTCAAGACTGCAAGATCATTTGAATAAAATGCATCCAGATAAGAAAGACAAGAATGTAGCATATTTTCAAGACCTAGAGAAGAAGCATAATACTCAGCCAAGTGTAGCAAAACTCTTTTCGGCGGCTGCTAAGCAAGATGACGACGGACTTCGAGCTTCGTACAATATCTCTTTGATAATTGCTCAAAAAGGCAAACCACACAACATCGGAGAAGAGTTAATTTTGCCAGCAATAAAGGAAGTAATAACTAGTGTACTTCATAAACCGGCCGCAGATATTATCCGAAAAAATCCTTTGAGTAATAATTCTGTGCAAAGATGAATTGATGAAATGGCTGCAATCATCTGAGGACTTGTCAATTCTCAATTCAGCTCGATGAGTCCGCTTTACCAACGAATGAAGCATTGTTGCTGTCTTACGTGAGGTTTATTAAAGATGAGAAAATATGTGACGAACTATTGTTTGCTAGAAATTTAGATACTGATACAAAAGGCGAAACCATATTCAATACATTGGAAAAGATTTGTGATCAGAAAGAGATTCCCTTGAAAAATATTATATCAGTATCATTTAATATCAGTTGCTACGGATGGCGCTCCGGCTATGACAGGGTGCCTTTATGGCTTCATAGCGTACAAAAAATAAAATTCCAGATATCCTTGCTGTACATTGCGTTATTCATAGACAACATTTGGTTGCTAGAAATTTAAGTGAACGACTATTTCAATTTTTTAAATTATTTTTTCATCCTCTAAGATTTCAATCACTGCAATATGTCATCAAA